TTTTTTATGTACAATATCATGTCATCTACAAATAGTGACAGTTTGACTTCTTCCTTACCAATCTGGATGCCTTGTATTTCTTTATTTTGTCTGATTGCCGTGGCTAGGACCTCCAGTACTATGTTGAATAACAGTGGGGAGAGTGGGCATCCCTGTCTGGTTCCCGATCTTAGAGGAAAAGCTTTTAGGTTCTCGCTGTTAAGTATGATGTTGGCTGTGGGTTTATCATATATGGCCTTTATTATGTTGAGTTACTTGCCTTCTATACCCATTTTGTTGAGAGTTTTTTTCATGAATGGGTTTTGAATTTTGTTGAATGCTTTTTCAGCATCTATGGAAATGATGATATGGTTTCTGTTCTTCTTTTTGTTGATGTGATGGATGATGTTGGATTTTCTAACTTTGTACCATCCTTGCATCCCTGAGATGAATCCCATTTGATCATGGTGTATGATCTTAATGTGTTTTTGAATTGTTTTCTAATATTTTGTTGAGTATTTTTGCATCTGTATTCATCAGGGATATTGGTCTGTAATTTTCTTTTTCAGTGGCGTCTTTGCCTGGTTTTGGTATTAGAGTGATGCTGGCTTCATAGGATGAGTTTGGATGTATTCCCTCCTCTTCTACCTTTTGGAAAACTTTAATGAGAATGGGTATTATGTCTTCTGCATATGTCTGATAAAATTCCACGGTGAATCCATCTGTCCCAGGGGTTTTGTTCTTTGATTACTGATTCAATTTCTTTGCTCGTAATGGGTCTGTTTAGATTTTCTGTTTTTTTCTTGGTCAGTCTTGGGAGGTTGTATTTTTCTAGGAGGTTGCCAGTTTCTTCTAGGTTTTGCAGCTTGTTAGCATATAGATTTTGTAGTATTCTCTTATAATTTTTTTTTTCTGTGAGGTCCTTCGTGATTTTTCCTTTCTCATTTCTGATTATGTTTATGTGTGTAGATTTTCTTTTTCTCTAGTAAGTCTGACTAGGGACTTACCTATTTTGTTTATTTTTTCAAGGAACCAGCTTTTGGTTACATTAATTTTTTTTGTATTATTTTATCGTTCTCAATTTTATTTATTCTTTGATCTTTTTATGTCCCTCATTCTGCTGTCTTTGGGTGTCATTTGTTCTTCTTTTTCTAGTTTCAATAATTGTGACTTTAGACTATTCATTTGGGAATGTTCTTCCTTTGTTAGATCGGCCTGGATTGCTATATACTTTCCTCTTAGAACTGTCTTCACTGCATCCCACAGAAGTTGGGGCTTTATGCTGTCGTTGTCAGTAGTCCCCCTATATTGCTTGATCTCTGTTTTAATTTGGTCATTGATCCATTGATTATTTAGAAGCATGTTGTGAAGCCTGTACGTGTTTGTGAGCCCTTTTGTTTGTACAATTTATTTCTAGTTTTATGCCTCTGTGGTCTCAGAAGTTGGTTGGTACAATTTCAGTCTTTTTAACTTACTGAGGCTTGTTTTGTGGCCTAGTATGTGGTCTATTCTGGAGAATGTTCTATGTGCACTTGAGAAGAATGTGTATCCTGCTGCTTTTGTGTGTAGAGTTCTGTAGATGTCTGTTAAGTCCATCTGTTCTAGTGTTTTCTTCAATGACTGTGTCCTTACTTATTTTCTGTCTGGTGGATCTGTCCTTTGGAGTCAGTGGTGTGTTGAAGTCTCCTAGAACGAATGCATTGCATTCTATTTCCTCCTTTAATTCTGTTAGTATTTGTTTCACATATGTTGGTGCACCTGTATTGGGTGCATATATATTTATAATGGTTGTATCCTCTTTTTGGGCTGACTCCCTTGTCATTATGTAATGTCCTTCTTTATCTCTTGTTACTTTGTTTGTTTTGAAGTCTATTTTGTCTGATACTAGTACTGCAACACCTGCCTTTTTCTCCCCATTGTTTGCATGAAATATTTTTCCATCCCTTTACTTTTAGTCTGTGTCTGTCTTTGGATTTGAGCTGAGTTTCTTGTAAGCAGCATATAGATGGGTCTTACTTTTTTATCCATTCTGTTACTCTGTGTCTTTTGATTAGTGCATTCAGTGCATTTACTTTTAGGGTGATTATTGAAAGATATGTACATATTTCCATTGTATGATTTCGATTTGTGGTTACCAAAGGTTCAAGGTTAGCTTCTTTACTATCTGTCTAACTTAACGTGCTTATTAAGCTATTGTAAGCACAGTATGATGATTTTTTATTTGTCTCCCTTCTTATTCCTCCTCCTCTGTTATTTATATGTTAGGTGTTTTATTCTGTGTTCTTTTCTGTTTCCTTTGACTGCTTTTGTGAGTAGTTGATTTTATTTTTTTGCCTTTAGTTTGTGTTTGGTTGGTGTGCTTTCTTTGCTGTGATTTTATTTTCTGTTGACATCCATTTAGCCTTAGGAGTGCTTCCATCTAAAGCAGTCCCTCTACAATACCCTGTAGAGGTGTTTTGTGGGAGGCAAATTTCCTCAGCTTTTGCTTGTCTGGGAATTGTTTAATCTCTCCTTCATATTTAAATGATAATCGTGCTCGATACAGTATTCTTGGTTTAAGGCTGTTCTGTTTCATTAAATTAAATATATCATGCCGTTCTCTTCTGGCCTGTAAGGTTTCTGTTGTGAAGTCTGATGATAGCTTAATACGTTTTCTTTTGTAGCTGACCTTTTTTCTCTCTCTGGCTGCCTTTAATACTCTGTCCTTGTCCTTGATCTTTGCCATTTTAATTATTATATGTCTTGGTGTTGTCCTCCTTTGGTCCCTTGTTTTGAGAGTTCTGTGGGTTTCCATGGTCTGCGAGACTATTTCTTCCCCCAGGTTGGGGAAGTTTTCAGCAAATATTTCTTCAAATACACTTTCTATCCCTTTTCCCTCTCTTCTTCTTCCGGTACCCCTATAATGTGTATATTGTTCTGTTTGATATGTTCGCACAGTTCTCTTAATGTTCTTTCATTCCTGGACATCCTTAATCTCTTTCTGCCTCAGCTTCTCTGTATTCCTGTTCTCTGATTTCTATTCCATTAACGGCGTCTTGCACCTCATCCAGTCTCCTCTTAAGTCCTTCCAGTGATTTTTTTATTTCTGTATTCTCTATCCCAACTTTATCCTTTAACTCTTGCATATTTCTCTGCAGATCCATGAGCATGGTTATGACCTTTCTTTTGAATACTTTTTCAGGGAGTTTGGTTAAGTCTGTCTCCCCAGGCTGTCTCTTGGGGGTTATCTGGATAATTTTGGCCTGGACCAAATTCTTTTGCCTTTTCATGGTGATAGAGCTAACTGTAGGCAGGTAGCGTGTGTGTCAGCTGGGAGAAGAAAGTCCTTTCCTGCTTTTTGGTCGCCTTGCCCTTCTCTGCTGCCTGTGTCAGTTACCCGCACTCCTGGAGCAGCCTCCAGGGTAATCCCCTTAGCTGCTGTGTGTGGGGTCTCCATCAGGGTAGTGCAGAGCCCTGTGGGCAGTGGCATGCATGCCAGTTGTGCTCTCCTTCGAGAGCTGCCCCCCCGCTGGGCAGCTGTGTGCTGGCAGCGGCCTTCTGGTCTGACGCAGGCGGCATTGCGCTGGGAGGAGATTCTGGGTGGCTGCTGGGGGCGTGGCTGCACCTGGGCCAGTCCGCCGCTGCCACCTCCGGTTCGCCTGTGCTGCTTGCCTGCCGCAGCTGCAGCCACTGGCTCACCTGGGTCATTCCTTGGCTGCTCTGGCACTACCATCGCACGCGGGCCTCTCCAGGGCTCCTTTGACGTTGCTGCCGCTGACGCATGTGGCCGCTCTGCTGCTACTGGGCCAGTGTGTTGGAGTTTGTGCCAGTCGTGGGAACAACTGGCAGGGTGCTTATCTCCATGAGGGGCTTCAGAGCTGTGCTGCTGCCCAGGGGGTTAGATTGCCTAGAGTTCCCCGGAATTCATTGGTGCTGGGCTGAGTGTGCCTGGACAATTGCATACAGTTGTGAGGTCCCTGTCCTTTTAAGATTTTCAAAAAGCACTGACTTTTCTTTTTTCCTGAGGGGCTGTTTGCGGGGACCCGCTCCCAGGTTTTCTTTTCTGTTTCTCCAATATCCAGCACATCATGCTCTGCGTGTCTGCACTCCTGGTGCGAATTACTGGAGCTGGTTTCTTAAGAGTCCTGGTCTTTCAGTCCCTCTCTGGTCCAAATCCTTTCCTCCGAATCTTTTTTTCAGTGGTGGTGGTGGGGGTGCTCGGGTCCCGTCGGGCCGGGGCTTGTATCTTACCCACTTCGTGTGGTGCTGAGTTCTCGCAGATGTAGATGTAGCCTGTCTGTTGTACTGTGTCCAATGGTCTCTCTTTTTGGAATAGTTGTATTTGTTGTATTTTCAAAAATATATGTGTTTTTGGGAGGAGATTTCCACTGGACAACTCACTCCGCCATTTTGGCTCCTTCCCATGAGTAACTTTTTAAAAAATATACAGGGAAATGTGTGTAGTAAACTGTTGATAAGCATAAGTAAGACATTTGTAAACTAGTTAAATCTGTATCAATCTGACCTGTGGGAGCTGTGGTACTCTCTAAAGTGACTTGCAAATTACTAGAATGTGTACAAATTCGATATGGCCACATTATATTTAAAAAACAGAAAACTTGACTGAAATATCAAGTATAAATGATGAACATTTGTTGATATTATGTATGGCTGTATATAATGAAGTAATAAGTACAAATATAAAGGCTTATTTTTTTAAGTAAAAATATAAAATTCTTTTTTTTCCCTACCCCCATTTTTAGGATGTGTTTAGCTTTCCCATATCTCCTAACATGAATCCTATCAAAATAAATGAATTGGCAATCCAAAGATGTTTGACTTTTCATGGGAAAGAAGATGAAGTTAGCCCCTATGACTATGTGTTGCAAGTCAGTGGGAGAGCAGAGTATGTGTTTGGTGATCACCCACTAATCCAGTTCCAGGTAATGTGTGTTAACTATAAATTGACCAGAGAAACATGTACATATATTTAATAATTTAAAGTTTTGATTGAAAAACATTGTGGCATAGTAACATTTGAAACCTATAACAAATTATACAGAATTAAATGATACCTTTAATTTTACCTACCTGTGAGGTAAACATTGTTAACATATTGGCATGTTTCCATCATTTTACTTGCAGTTGTAGTTATTTTAGCATAATGATTATATATGTTCATGTATATATCGATGTGTTTTCATTTTGCTCTTGGTTAAGTGTTATAATTTTCTATAGTATTATGAATTCTTAATAAAATTTGTTACAGCTTCCCACTATTTCACCATGTAAGCAATGGTTTAGATATGAAATATTCTGGGGGAAGTAAAAAATATTTTGATTAAATAGTTACTAATTATATAAAAATTTATTTGTGATTATCAGTTAACTAGGGAAAGTAATAGTAAAAATTTTCATTTTGAGTTAGAAAATTTCTAATTTTCAGTGTATCTGTATAATCTCTGGTACCCCCCCTTTTAAATTTTTGCTGTATGTAATAAGAATTTTGTAAGCATTAGGCCTAACCATCCTCAAAACCATCCTTTATCTTTGAGATGTTTATATCCAGTTAATCATGAATTCTTTAGTTTATGCTTTATGGAAGACACTGAAGTGCCTCAGATTATATCTGTAGTAAAGGGATTTAAACAAGATATGTGAAATGTTAACACTTCCCCTTCCATAAGGTATGCTATTTAATGAACAGGATCCCGGCTTTAACTTTCAAGGATGCTAGGCTAAGTGACAAGTTACAAGTAAATACTAAAAGAATTTTAGAAGTATATGTGTTTACTGTTATTTTTATTTTTGTTGTTTTAAGCAAGAGGTATATATAGGCATGCGACATATTAAGTGATGTCTGTTTGAGAATAAGGAGCTGTGATTTATTAGCAGGTAACAGGATTTCACACCTTTCTTTTCACATTTTTAGCCCCTTAATTTTTATAGTTTAGTAGGTAGGAAGTCGAGCAGCAGTTACAGCTTATGTGCATAGCTTCGGGAGCTGTAATATTCTGACAGTAAGTGCTTGAAATCTAGCCCATGAGAGGAAGAAGACAGTTTGATGATAGCATAGAAATACTGACTTTATTCCTTTTGTGCTCTGTCATCCTTTAAGTAGCCCCTGCCTTTTCACACTTTTTTTTTAACCTTAATAAGTGGAGGGTGTAGTGTTTTGTCAGAACTAGAATTTGTTATTATAAAGAAAAATAAAGGTGTGTGCATTTTTTTACAAGGTCATGAGATAAAATATGTAGGCAACGGAATGTGAAGGAAATGGAATGATACATCTCTTAATAGTGAAAAGTTTTTGAATAAATGTATTTGTAGTAAATATGTCCCTTCTACAAATTTGTTTTCAAAAAATTTTTAGTGGCTCTGAATTGAATATATTACATTGAATTTGTATCTGTATAGGAAATTCTTCTGAGGAATACACTGGATTTCTGTTCAGTTTGTTAGGACTCTTCGGTTATGTGAATAACTACCCCTTTTATTACATGCCTCTGTAGACTCATCCTGGTCTCATAGAAGTAAAACAGAGCATCAAACTGGGACGACCAGTAGGTTTTTTGTTGGGGAGACAGTAATGGTTGCCTGCAGCTGTGTACTGGAAAGGAACCAGGTCTACCTCTAATACCTATTGGAAGTGAAGTTGGCTAGCTCAGGACTAAAAGAAATGGCCACATGTATACTCTACTTGTTCACTTTTCCTGACTGACTGGTCAAAACTAGCACGTGATATCACAGTCTATGACAATCATGTCCTATCCCTAGAAAAGTACACTGATTGGTCAAACTGTCAAGTATTAGGTGCAGAGAAGAGAAGACAATGTAGATTTATGCACATATTTCTTCAGGGTTTAGCAAACAACAAAAAAGTTCGGTAGATTTAAATCCAGGTCTTAAATATACTAGGTGTATAACTTACCCTTCTGCTTTTCAGCTCTTTAATCTTATAGTAAGGGAGAAAATCTTTCTTACAGAGTTGTTATAAAGATTAGCTATAATGTTATAAGACGTGTCTAGTTCAGTTATGAGGCACTTAGGTGTTCAATTAATGATAGCTATTTTATATTACAATTTTAATTTCTCATATTGTTGACATTAAGTTCTTGTTCAAGGTAAATTTTCACCATGTATTTGATACAGTATTGTTCATCTTAATTTTATTCTTCTATTTATTCTTTATTCTTGAGTTAAGTATTTACTTGAAAATCTTCACCTTGTTCTTTTCTTGCTGCTGTAGTATATCCGGAACTGTTTAATGAATAGGTCCTTGCCCCATTTTATACTTGTGGAATGTTGCAAGATCAAGAAGATGTATGAACAGGAAATGATTGCCATAGAGGCTGCCATAAATCGAAATTCATCTAACCTTCCTCTTCCTTTACCACCAAAGAAAATGAGAATTATTTCTGTAAGTTTCATGTGTGAACCTTTGGTAACCCCAAAAGGCATGTGATTTTGTTAGGTTGCATGCTTAAGCCTCACACATATTTTCTGTGTTCACTTCTGCTTCTCTATAAACCAGTGCATATTTGCCAAATGATCCATTACCATTTTTTAAAAACTATCTTTCCAGCTACTATTCATTTTATTACTCCACCTACATATAAATATATATATGCCACTTGTGTTTTTGGTGTTCTTCTGGTGCCAAAGGAAAATACCATTAAATTAGAGATGTTAAAATTAGAGCTAAACATAGTAAGTACTTCAGCGAGCAATTTGAGACATTCTAGTAGAAAACCTAGGTGTGCAGAAATAGTAGATTTATTAGTATATTTCATTTTTTCAACTTAGCTATATAATGATATTGGCATAATTTGCCTTTTTATTGAATACTTTCAGATTTTAAATGTATCAAAGGCACCATTTTTTATGTAATGTAATTTTTTTTTGTATAAACCAATTCTCCAGTGTGCATTCATTGGAACAGTTAGCAATTTTTAAATAGTTATTCAGTCTTAAGAAATTGTATGTTTAATCACTTCTTGATCATTAAGGTATCTGTATATTTAAGTGGTCAATTGTTAGTTCATCCAGTGCTTTTAATACTATTTTTTTTTGTTGTTTAATTTAGCAAATCTCTTAGCAGTACTGAAATGCTGCCTGTGTTTTGTCATGAGACTACATGCTAGTGGTTGTGATGCCTGATTGAATGTATGTAATTTTCAGTTGTTAGTTCAGAGGTCTATTTTCATTATTTTGCTTGGACATGAGAACTGATTAGATGATTTAATTGCAAGCATAGATATTAATTTCTTTCATTAAAATACTCTGTATTTCATTTTGTTTACAGCATATTTGGGAAAATAACAACCCTTTCCAAATTGTCTTAGTTAAGGGGAATAAACTTAACACAGAAGAAGCTGTAAAAGTAAGTACTTGTCAGGATTTGAATTTGTCATCTGCTCCATTGTTTGAATAACTTCTGATAGGTTCAAAGTATGTCACATTGGAGATAAAGTAATAGAATATGACAGTTTAAGAGAATTAAGAACTTCTGTTTTAAAATATGCTTTCAATAGTTCAGATGTGCTGGAGAGATTCACATTTTTGCAGTATATATTATGTAAAAGAATTGCTTTAGATCAGAAAATCAGCAAGTCAAATTTAAACCAGAATTATAGGTCACATGTTTCTATGCTAGCTTACTTCTTTCTCAGCCTTACTTAGAGCTGTACGCAGCCTCCTCTCCCAGGCTTTTTTTATCCTTTTAAATTTGCTGAACACAGAGAAAATGTAATACTATTTCCTGGAAGAAATTCAGATGACTACATTATAGACCACAAGTTACTAACACATGGGGATTTATTGTACAACCCCATACAATTTAGTAAAGACCTAGCAAGGAATTTTGTCTCTAATTGTAAAGCATGCATTTTCCCCTGTTTTGCTTGGAAGGAAATTAAGTGAATAGCTTTGTGATCCAAGAAGGAGATTCAGTTAGTGTGAGATGTTTGCTGGCATGGGGATGTATACCCAGGATCACCTTGCTTCTAAATAGACTTTAAAGATTCTTTGGTTACCTGTCATTAAAACAGGGGCTTTTTTCTTCTCATGTTCTCAGCTAGATTTTAATTTCTAATGAGTGTGTTTATGACCAATTAGTTTTTGATTTCTATTTTAGTGGTAATCATACTTTTCTTGTTAATTTAAGTTTTCTTTATTAATGCTTTTCAAATTGCAGAAATATAACATGATTGTTGCAACAGTTAAAAAAGTCCAAACCTGATTATAAAAAGTTACTTATCTCTCCTCCTATCTCTTTACTATCGTGTTAGGATTCAAGGTCAACAAGCCTTGGGACTGATCTGTGTGTTCATACAAATATATGCCATATAGTTTGGAGACTGAAGGTGTTTTGGTTGTGTTTACTTTGTTGATTGGTTGGTTTGGTAAACAAAAAGGGAGATGATACTGTATTTTAGTCTACAACTTGATTTATTCACTATTTATAATGCATCTTGGGCATTCTTCTGGATTAGTATAAATTCAGGAGACTTCGTTGTGTATCATGTCCCTAAAGGCAGAAATCACGTATAGGCAAATCTACTCTCAAGAGATAGGGAACAGTATAGACATACAGTTTTGTCCAGTGTGTAATTTACATTGTAAAAATGGGAATTCTTACTTGTTCTTGCCATTTGTAGGATAGTTTATATGTCTTCTGTAGATAATGTATCAGTTTAATTCTTTTGTAGTTATTATTTCTCTATAGCCTTTTATTATTAACCAGGTTCTTCCTGGAGAAGACTTAAAGTAGCTTTCACTACATGCTTTAGTTTCCTAGAGAATTATGCTTTATTTCTTTGTCAGTAACGTTTTATTTCCATAGCTTTTACCACTTTCCAGTAGTTGTTTCAAACTGGATTGACTTTTGTTGTGTGTGGCCAAATGTTCTTATGAGTAATAGAATTAATGACATGTACTATTCAAAGTATTTCCCCTTCCACTCCATCTAGATCTCTACTCCTGTCTCCTTCCAGTGGGGTTATATAGTTGAATTTAAGTAAGTTAATGCAATTATGACATCACTTTCTTGTGGATGCACTTCACCCTTTGTTCTTTTTTTCTGTTGTGGGGTGTTTTGTTTTGTTTTTTTAATTTTAAGTATCATAGATATACAATCTTATACTGGTTTCAAATATACAAGTGATTCAACAGTTGCCCATATTATTAAATCCTCACCCCCCCAGTGCAGTTACTGTCAACATAGAAAGATATACAGAATCATTGACTGTATTCTCCGTGCTGTACTNGAATGCATTGCATTCTATTTCCTCCTTTAATTCTGTTAGTATTTGTTTCACATATGTTGGTGCACCTGTATTGGGTGCATATATATTTATAATGGTTGTATCCTCTTTTTGGGCTGACTCCCTTGTCATTATGTAATGTCCTTCTTTATCTCTTGTTACTTTGTTTGTTTTGAAGTCTATTTTGTCTGATACTAGTACTGCAACACCTGCCTTTTTCTCCCCATTGTTTGCATGAAATATTTTTCCATCCCTTTACTTTTAGTCTGTGTCTGTCTTTGGATTTGAGCTGAGTTTCTTGTAAGCAGCATATAGATGGGTCTTACTTTTTTATCCATTCTGTTACTCTGTGTCTTTTGATTAGTGCATTCAGTGCATTTACTTTTAGGGTGATTATTGAAAGATATGTACATATTTCCATTGTATGATTTCGATTTGTGGTTACCAAAGGTTCAAGGTTAGCTTCTTTACTATCTGTCTAACTTAACGTGCTTATTAAGCTATTGTAAGCACAGTATGATGATTTTTTATTTGTCTCCCTTGTTATTCCTCCTCCTCTGTTATTTATATGTTAGGTGTTTTATTCTGTGTTCTTTTCTGTTTCCTTTGACTGCTTTTGTGAGTAGTTGATTTTATTTTTTTGCCTTTAGTTTGTGTTTGGTTGGTGTGCTTTCTTTGCTGTGATTTTATTTTCTGTTGACATCCATTTAGCCTTAGGAGTGCTTCCATCTAAAGCAGTCCCTCTACAATACCCTGTAGAGGTGTTTTGTGGGAGGCAAATTTCCTCAGCTTTTGCTTGTCTGGGAATTGTTTAATCTCTCCTTCATATTTAAATGATAATCGTGCTCGATACAGTATTCTTGGTTTAAGGCTGTTCTGTTTCATTAAATTAAATATATCATGCCGTTCTCTTCTGGCCTGTAAGGTTTCTGTTGTGAAGTCTGATGATAGCTTAATACGTTTTCTTTTGTAGCTGACCTTTTTTCTCTCTCTGGCTGCCTTTAATACTCTGTCCTTGTCCTTGATCTTTGCCATTTTAATTATTATATGTCTTGGTGTTGTCCTCCTTTGGTCCCTTGTTTTGAGAGTTCTGTGGGTTTCCATGGTCTGCGAGACTATTTCTTCCCCCAGGTTGGGGAAGTTTTCAGCAAATATTTCTTCAAATACACTTTCTATCCCTTTTCCCTCTCTTCTTCTTCCGGTACCCCTATAATGTGTATATTGTTCTGTTTGATATGTTCGCACAGTTCTCTTAATGTTCTTTCATTCCTGGACATCCTTAATCTCTTTCTGCCTCAGCTTCTCTGTATTCCTGTTCTCTGATTTCTATTCCATTAACGGCGTCTTGCACCTCATCCAGTCTCCTCTTAAGTCCTTCCAGTGATTTTTTTATTTCTGTATTCTCTATCCCAACTTTATCCTTTAACTCTTGCATATTTCTCTGCAGATCCATGAGCATGGTTATGACCTTTCTTTTGAATACTTTTTCAGGGAGTTTGGTTAAGTCTGTCTCCCCAGGCTGTCTCTTGGGGGTTATCTGGATAATTTTGGCCTGGACCAAATTCTTTTGCCTTTTCATGGTGATAGAGCTAACTGTAGGCAGGTAGCGTGTGTGTCAGCTGGGAGAAGAAAGTCCTTTCCTGCTTTTTGGTCGCCTTGCCCTTCTCTGCTGCCTGTGTCAGTTACCCGCACTCCTGGAGCAGCCTCCAGGGTAATCCCCTTAGCTGCTGTGTGTGGGGTCTCCATCAGGGTAGTGCAGAGCCCTGTGGGCAGTGGCATGCATGCCAGTTGTGCTCTCCTTCGAGAGCTGCCCCCCCGCTGGGCAGCTGTGTGCTGGCAGCGGCCTTCTGGTCTGACGCAGGCGGCATTGCGCTGGGAGGAGATTCTGGGTGGCTGCTGGGGGCGTGGCTGCACCTGGGCCAGTCCGCCGCTGCCACCTCCGGTTCGCCTGTGCTGCTTGCCTGCCGCAGCTGCAGCCACTGGCTCACCTGGGTCATTCCTTGGCTGCTCTGGCACTACCATCGCACGCGGGCCTCTCCAGGGCTCCTTTGACGTTGCTGCCGCTGACGCATGTGGCCGCTCTGCTGCTACTGGGCCAGTGTGTTGGAGTTTGTGCCAGTCGTGGGAACAACTGGCAGGGTGCTTATCTCCATGAGGGGCTTCAGAGCTGTGCTGCCGCCCAGGGGGTTAGATTGCCTAGAGTTCCCCGGAATTCATTGGTGCTGGGCTGAGTGTGCCTGGACAATTGCATACAGTTGTGAGGTCCCTGTCCTTTTAAGATTTTCAAAAAGCACTGACTTTTCTTTTTTCCTGAGGGGCTGTTTGCGGGGACCCGCTCCCAGGTTTTCTTTTCTGTTTCTCCAATATCCAGCACATCATGCTCTGCGTGTCTGCACTCCTGGTGCGAATTACTGGAGCTGGTTTCTTAAGAGTCCTGGTCTTTCAGTCCCTCTCTGGTCCAAATCCTTTCCTCCGAATCTTTTTTTCAGTGGTGGTGGTGGGGGTGCTCGGGTCCCGTCGGGCCGGGGCTTGTATCTTACCCACTTCGTGTGGTGCTGAGTTCTCGCAGATGTAGATGTAGCCTGTCTGTTGTACTGTGTCCAATGGTCTCTCTTTTTGGAATAGTTGTATTTGTTGTATTTTCAAAAATATATGTGTTTTTGGGAGGAGATTTCCACTGGACAACTCACTCCGCCATTTTGGCTCCTTCCCATGAGTAACTTTTTAAAAAATATACAGGGAAATGTGTGTAGTAAACTGTTGATAAGCATAAGTAAGACATTTGTAAACTAGTTAAATCTGTATCAATCTGACCTGTGGGAGCTGTGGTACTCTCTAAAGTGACTTGCAAATTACTAGAATGTGTACAAATTCGATATGGCCACATTATATTTAAAAAACAGAAAACTTGACTGAAATATCAAGTATAAATGATGAACATTTGTTGATATTATGTATGGCTGTATATAATGAAGTAATAAGTACAAATATAAAGGCTTATTTTTTTAAGTAAAAATATAAAATTCTTTTTTTTCCCTACCCCCCTTTTTAGGATGTGTTTAGCTTTCCCATATCTCCTAACATGAATCCTATCAAAATAAATGAATTGGCAATCCAA